CCCCAAAACCCCAAAACCCCTCTAAGTATTATTTATTTACTTATAGAATAGAATCATAATTACAAATATTAATGAGGATTTCCCAATAGATGATTATCAATGTCAGTTATCATCCAATGTCCGACAAATTCTATATCTTTATCTAATTCATCAAACAAAAAATATTCCTCATCAAAGTTCTCAATATGAATTTTACTTTCAAATTTTACATAATGAGTTTCAATCGCTTGCTAATCTTTAATAGTTCTAGATTTATCCAGTTTTATGATATCTAGTTTTGCATTTGTATCGATTCTTATTAGTAACTCAATATGCTTCAAGAATCCATTGAAGCTGTATTTGCAGCTATTCTGAAAAGTCTTTGAAGCACATTTATAGATCTTTGACTCTCCTATTCCTTTGTAGTACTCCACACTATCTTCGTGATAATTTTTATGTCTAGAAATGTAAAGACCCATAATTTATTTAGCATCTACTATTTGAATTGAAGTATGAGATTTCTATAATTATTCTTGAATCTCAATATCTGAATTAGGCTCATTAATTAGCTAGAGTGCTAGTATATCTGCATTTAATTCGCCTAAAGTATCATCGATATCATGGTAGAGATTGTTTTCACACATTTATCTCAATAGCTATAAATCAAAGTTGCATATAGATCAAAGTAGCTGAATATATCCTATGTAGAATTTTTTCTTTAAGTCATTCTTTTTAAGCCAGTTGGAAGTTATCAACTAATTTCATTCAGATAAGTTTTATTTTACTAGCTATGAAGTATTATTAAATTTATAGGGAAAGGTATTCAAGTGATCCTAAAGCAATTCATCTGCAAAAAGATTCTTTGATATTAATCATTTTTATATTTTGTGGTAGGCACTCTTATTCTTAATCATTGACTTAGCTATCATATTATATCTTAAACTTACAAAATTATTTTTGATTTATATAATTCTAGAAAATTATTGATTTTAGGTCGTAGGGGTTTTGGGGTTTTGGGGTTTTGGGG